TCTGCTTCAGTTACGCTAATGTAAGTAAATATTTATTCTATCAACTGTTCATCTGCTTCAATTACGCTAATGTAAGTAAATCTCTATTCTATCAACTGTTCATCTGCTTCAGTTACGCTAATGTAAGTAAATCTTTATTCTACCAACTGTTCATCTGCTTCAATTACGCTAATGTAAGTAAATCTCTATTCTATCAACTGTTCATCTGCTTCAGTTACGCTAATTTAAGTAAATATTTATTCTATCAACTGTTCATCTGCTTCAAGTACGCTAATGTAAGTAAATCTCTATTCTATCAACTGTTCATCTGCTTCAAGTACGCTAATGTAAGTAAATCTTTATTCTATCAACTGTTCATATATGTGATGCTATTCTATCAACTATTCACATATGTAATGCTATTCTATCAACTGTTCATATATGTAATGCTCTTCTATCAACTGTTCATATATGTAATGCTATTGTATCAACTGTTCATATATGTAATGCTCTTCTATCAACTGTTCATATATGTAATGCTATTGTATCAACTGTTCATATATGTAATGCTCTTCTATCAACTGTTCATATATGTAATGCTCTTCTATCAACTGTTCATATATGTAATGCTATTGTATCAACTGTTCACATATGTAATGCTATTCTATCAACTGTTCATATATGTAATGCTATTCTATCAACTGTTCACATATGTAATGCTATTCTATCAACTGTTCATATATGTAATGCTATTGTATTTCTGTGTACTGTTGATCAGTTTCAAATATGCTAATGTAATTCCCTTCTCTTTTTTAAAACTATTTTCCTGTTTCTAGAGCGCTAATGTGTTGAAGTACATCATAAAACGCGTATGTGATGAGTTAAATGAATATACTGATTACGTAGCTCGTACTGATCGGATCTTAGTTGTATGTTATCAAACTAAGAATAAACTTATATAGACAGCAGGCAAGAAAACTAGCTTCATTTTTCTGATGTAATCTAGGTTTTTTTTTTACCAGGTGATAATCAATAGACTGAAACCGTTCGCAAGGTTTGGACTGATACATTTGTTCGGAACGTCTTTATTTTTCTGGCTCAGCACCGTTGTTGAGGATGCTTTACAGGACTACAACCTGTTTATTAGCAACTCAGTAGTTCAAAGTAACACCACCAGTGTGAATTTTATTACAAATTCAAGTAAGTTAACTACCATTTCAATAGTAGCCGAAATAATTTATCGGGTCTAATCCGGGAACTAAACAGTTACTGATATAAAACAATCAGTATTACAGCAGCTAATACAGATGTTAACCTCAAATAATGGTCTGTAATTCAGGATATAACAGATGTTAACCTCAAATAATGGTCTGTAAGTCAGGATATAACAGATGTTAACCTCAAATAATGGTCTGTAATTCAGGATATAACAGATGTTAACCTCAAATAATGGTCTGTAAGTCAGGACATAACAGATGTTAACCTCAAATAATGGTCTGTAATTCAGGATATAACAGATGTTAACCTCAAATAATGGTCTGTAAGTCAGGATATAACAGATGTTAATCTCAAATAATGGTCTGTAATTCAGGATATAACAGATGTTAACCTCAAATAATGGTCTGTAAGTCAGGATATAACAGATGTTATCCTCAAATAATGGTCTGTAATTCAGGATATAATAGATGTTAACCTCAAATAATGGTCTGTAATTCAGGATATAACATATGTTAACCTCAAATAATAGTCTGTAATTCAGGATATAATAGATGTTAACCTCAAATAATGGTCTGTAAT